ACGGTTCTTATGTCAACCACCGCCATTTGGCGCTGCTGGTCGATGTCATGACTGTACGAGGCTACCTGACACCCGTCACTCGACACGGTATCAACCGTGCTGATAACGGTGCACTCATGCGTTGTTCGTTCGAAGAAACCGTCGAGATTCTGTTGGAAGCGGCCGCTTTCGGAGAGCTGGACGATTGCCGTGGTGTTTCTGAGAACCTTATTTTGGGCCAGATGGCTCCTGCTGGTACCGGAGAGTTCGATATCTACCTTGACCAGAACCTCATGAACACTGTCGTGTCGAACAATGCTCGCTTCGGTGTTATGGGAGCGATCGGCGCCAAGGATGCCATCATCTCCGACGGTGCTGCTACTCAGTATGACACGGGCTCGCCTATGCAGGAGAGTGCTTACATCGGCACTCCCGACCCCGAGTCGAACTTCTCTCCCATTCGCCAAGCCGGTGCCGAGACTCCTGGTGGCTTCACCGAATACCAGCCTACTGGCGGCTTTGGAGGCGGGTTCAGTCCGGCAGCTACAAGCCCAGCTGGCTATTCCCCCAGCAGTCCGTTCAGCGCGAACCCGACGTCGCCTGGCTACTCCCCGACCTCGAGTTATTCTCCCACGTCACCGGGTATGGCTATCACCAGTCCTCGTTTCATGTCGACGTCTCCTGGGTTCTCCCCAGCGAGTCCGTCATTTGCTCCGACATCACCAGCATACTCTCCTACCTCTCCTGCGTATGGCCAGGCATCTCCCACGTCGCCATCGTACTCGCCAACTTCGCCAGGGTTCTCACCGACGTCGCCGAACTACAGTCCTACTTCACCCAGTTTCAGCCCGGCTTCACCGGCCTTTAGCCCAACCTCGCCTAGCTACAGCCCGACAAGCCCTGCTGTTGGTGGTGTTGGCCGGCATCTGTCACCCACTTCTCCTACCTCACCTAAGTACACGCCTACTTCGCCTGGGTGGTCTCCTACGAGCCCCCAGACGTATTCTCCTACATCTCCCAACTTTGCCGGCTCGCCGACGTCACCTGGAGGACCAACGTCTCCTGGCTACAGCCCGACGTCGCCGGCTTTCAGCCCTACGTAAGTCACTCATGAGCAACGATTGAATATCATTTGGTCACTAACCAAGCATGCAGATCTCCACGCCAGTGAAATCCTAAGATGGTTGCTTTGCTCCTTTCTGACCTTCGCTGTATCATTGTACTATCACCTACCTCCCAGACGACCTCTAAGAGGAACAAAAGAAAAAAACATCTTGCATTGTATGTTGCGGAATTGGTTGGTTATTTCATGCAGAATTTGGGGCGCCTGTAGCCTTTCCCTTTCACCCATCCGTTTTTAAACTGTATGTTTTTCTCTTCTTGCGTCAGCCTGCAGGTCGATCCCCTTATTATCCCGTATTAGTTTCCTTTCCTACTTTTTCTTTTTTTCGAGCCAGCCTGCTGAAATTGCGAACGGTTTTGTGGGTTGGTGATATTCTGTGTTTTGCTTGCTTTCTTTCCCCTTTTTTTGCACATTGAACTACCAAGCGTTTAGACTTGAGGATGCTTGTGGACCATGACTCGGTTATGAGAATACGATGGTCCTCTCCGGAGATGGTGTTGTTTTCTCTGAGTTTGCATCGAGGACGAGTTATTGCGTGTATTGCTGCGATCGATCAGTATCCCTATGCTTTGTACACAGACGACTGCAGATGGGTTATGGACGAGACCGGAGGTCAATAATAATGAAAATGGTTGCCAACACATGTGCCATGTAGTGATCAAGAGTAGTAGTAGATGTGATTGTAGTCTAGATAGTAATGTAGTGAAGGAGCCAAGAACGTCGGCGAAATGAAGCTCCGCAACGCCAGGTGGCCCGTTCCGCATCGGGGCCGAGCAAGCAACTCCCCCGAGTCTCCAGTGCTCATCTTCACTGTCAGCTCCTCCCCCCTCTCTTACTTATCGGAAGTTCGAGCACAGAGTCGCCATGCGCCTCTCACTGTTCACTCCTACTCATCTCTCTCACACAACATGAAGAACTGGTGGCTGTGGCGTTTCCTGCCGTTGGCGCTTCGTGAGTCTCACTGTGGAGCTTAGCCGCATCACGCGATAGCTACTGACCTCCAAGCACCACTTTCCAGTGCTTCTGCAGGTGCTTGCGGTTGAACATAATGGACAGCCCGACAAACAAGAACCCTTAACAGATGTCGTTCCTGAATCATATGCACATGCTGAGTCCTCGAGCGGGCCCGAGGGCTCTAACAGCCTACCGGGACACGGTGAGCAGCCCTGTGCATGACGCCAGTGCACTCATCCTTGCTAACAACTAGATTCTTGATGTACCAATAGAACACGTCGAAAATGCCCTTCGAATCCTCCGAGAAAGCAAAATCCCCATAATCACTCACGAGAAACCGTCCGGTCTACTGGGATACACCTGGCATTACGCCCAAGAAGCCTTCCGAATCCTATTCATGAATGGACCTCAGCCGGATGGGACACACAAGCAGAAGCTCGATCCAAATGTTGCAAAGGCTGCGAACGAACTCAAGATTGCGGCGCAGGAGGACCAAAACCCCGATGCAATCTTCCTCTTAGCGGAAATGAACTTCTACGGCAACTTCACCCACCCGAGAGATTTCAAGCAGGCTTTCCATTGGTACCAGACCTTGGCGTCGTCGACTGGAAACGGTACGGCACAATATATGCTTGGGTTTATGTATGCAACGGGTGTTGGAGGTGCGGTGGAGCGCGACCAGGCCAAGGCCCTGTTATACCACACCTTTGCGGCCGAAGCGGGCAATACGAAGTCGGAAATGACCCTCGCGTATCGCTACCACGCTGGAATCGGGGCTCCTAGAGATTGCGACCAAGCGACTTATTACTACAAGAAGGTGGCCGACAAGGCTATTGATTACTACCGATCTGGACCGCCCGGTGGCAATACCATGATCCGCGAGTCCTACCGTTGGGCGGACGAAGAGGGTGGTGTTTATGGTGAAGGCGCCAGTGTATCGACACCTGCGCGCGATGGAACGCATTCGAGCACGGAAGCCAGCTTGGAAGACGTCTTGGAGTACTTGGATTTAATGTCGAGAAAGGGCGAACTGAAGGCTACTTTCAGCCTGGGCAAGATGCACTATGAAGGGGGCCGCGGCTTGCCTAGAAATTTCCGCAAGTCGATGAATTACTTCAGACAGGTCACCAAGCGGTACTGGAATAAAGACGGGTCGGTGAACCCCAACCATCCTGTTGGTGTTGAGAAGCTGGCTTCGAAAGCAGCAGGCCATATTGGCATGATGTACCTGCGGGGCGAGGGGGTGGAACAGAACTTTGCAACTGCCCAGACTTGGTTTAGGCGTGGACTCGCGAACGGTGATGCTCTCTGCCAGCATGAGCTCGGACTGATGTACCTGCATGGCTATGGCGTAACACCGGATGCATTCAGAGCTGCATCATACTTCAAGGCTGCCGCCGAGCAGGACTTCCCGGCCGCTGAAACGAGGCTGGGTGCCCTGTTTTTGGACCAAGGCGATGTTCAGACCGCCACCCGCTATTTCGAACTCGCTGCGCGCTGGGGCTGGATGGAGGCCTTCTACTACCTGGCAGAATTGTCCAACAATGGGGTTGGGCGGAAACGACACTGCGGAATGGCCGCGTCTTACTACAAGATGGTCGCCGAACGGGCGGAAGTCATCCATTCATCCTTCGAGGAAGCGAACACCGCATATGAGAACGGAGACAAGGAACGGGCATTCATCCCGGCGCTGATGGCTGCGGAGCAGGGCTACGAGCATGCGCAGTCCAATGTTGCGTTCCTGCTAGATGAGCAGCGGTCTTTGTTCGCCATTGATACCATCCTTCCAGGAGCCAAGAAGAGCAGACCAGCTCTGCTGCGAAATGCGGCGCTGGCTCTTATCTATTGGACACGCTCCGCCAAACAGGCGAACATCGACTCCTTGCTCAAGATGGGCGATTACTACCTAACGGGCATGGGCATTGCCGCGGATGCGGAGAAGGCCTCGACCTGCTACCACACCGCAGCCGAAGTGCACTACAGCGCACAGGCGTACTGGAACCTGGGATGGATGCATGAAAATGGTGTTGCCGTGGACCAAGACTTCCACATGGCCAAGCGATACTACGATCTCGCGCTGGAGACTAGCTCCGAGGCGTATCTGCCCGTGAAACTCAGTCTGCTTAAACTGCGGATGCGGGGATACTGGAATTGGCTAACGAACGGAGACATCAATCCCATCCAGGAGGAAGAAGGTAAGCAACCCCACCGTAATTATCGCTGAGAAGATCCGAACAGCCACACTTACACACCAACGCAGAAGTGAGATCGCATCGAACCCTGAAGGAATTTATCGCCACTTTTATCCAGAACAACGAGGAAGAAGAGGCCGCCTTCCGCGCACAGATGTACAAACAGGACGAGGAGGACGAACTCATGTCGAGCAATCGCCTGGACGACCACCGCGAAGACGGCTACTACGACGAGCTGGAGCTCGATATTGATGATAGCTTTCTGGAGGGATTGCTCATTCTCAGTCTTGCCGCAACGCTGCTCGTGCTCGTGTATATGAGACAGCAGCGCAACCGCCAGCGTCAGAACGACAACGGCGGCGCGAATGCTGCGGCAGGAGGCAATGCCAACAATGATCGGGGAATGTTTCCTCGGCCGGGCGAGCCGGGTTTCAATGATTGGCTTGCTGGGGCGGTAGGTCATTAATGATATAGAATATTGTGCATTTCGCAGTAATGTATATGCTTGATTTAGCTTAAGTACACGAATGATACCTTCCTAGTTACCATCTACCGAGTATGTAGAGAATTGACTGAGTATCTTATCTTATCAGCTGACTCGTCTTATCGATAAGCATATTTACTTTCCACTTCATACTTCTTCAAGTTCATACTTACACCATCCCCACAATCCATCCCAAATACACATCTACCTCATCCAAGCATTGAACTTCTTGAACCCAAGAAACAAGACTATCAGAAAGACACACACAATGAACCCAAACCAAACACCAACCCCCAATCCCAAACGCCGCCGTCTAAACACCACCACAACCCTATCATCACCCTCATCAACGCTCACGAAACCATTCAAATCGCCTCTGCGCAGACCAGCACCAGCCCAAGCATCAGCCCCAGATACTACCACCAACGCAACTACCACAAACACACCCTCTTCATCCTCCAAAGACCCAACAACCACACGACCCCAAATACAATCCCACACATCAACACCCGCCACCCCCAAACCCAACCCCTCATCTTTCACCACCCCAATCCCCAAATCCACCCCCAAAAATACCCCTACCCCCAAAGAAAAGCAGAAGCCAAAAGAAGAAGAAGACCCCACCCTCTCCACCCTCCGCACCACCCACCGGCACCTCCAATCCCGACTCCTTTCTCTCCGCACCGAACTAGAAACAGTCACTCAGGCGCAGCGCATCGAGGAATCCCACCGCGATGAGGAACTAGAGAAGTTGATTGTGAAGTGGAGGGGTGTGGGGCAAAGGGTTGCGGAGGAGGTGTTTGAGGGGGCGAGGGAGAGGGTTGTGAGGATGGGGGGTGTGAGGGGGTGGAAGGGGATGGAGATGAGTAGGAGTGGTGGTGGTGGTGGGTGGGGAGATGATTATGGCCATAATCATGAGAAGAAGGGTGGGGTAAAGGAGATGGTTTGTCTATCCTTTTTCTTGTTCTCGGTTGTGTATTGTGGATTGGAGATGTGCTGATGTATCTGTGTGGTAGGATGAGGAAGAAGAGGAGGAAGAGTTCACGATCGGGATGATGTTGAAGACGATGGGGATTGATTTCAAGGTTATTGGGTTTGATGGTGAGGGGCAGAGGTGGGTGTGATTCTACTGGGTCAATTGTATTGATGTGATTGCTGTATGTCTATGTATCTGGGAGAGCAGCCTACTTGCTAGGCCGATGATGAAAAGCCAGCTATAATATGAATAAAACAAGCATGTGATCAATTTATGCTAACGCTATACTGCAAATACTCCCTATTGTAACCGCAATTTGCAAACTCCTAACTCAAAATACCATCCTGGCCCATACATATTTTCTCAGCCTGTTTCACGCCATCCCGTATCGTAACTGCTCTGTAGAAAAGTCCATAACACAAAATGAACAAAGAAAAGAAAGGAAGCTCTATCCAGACAGTCTTCCTCAACATTTAGATGATGTCCATGCCATCAATATCATCACCATCAATGTCCTCCATATTGTCAGCAATAGCACCGCTCAGGGCCAATTGGGAAGGCTTCGGATCCTTATTTTCTCCGAAAGCTCCAACCATCTCCAGCTCGGGCCCGGCAATAATACGACCCTCAGTGTCGACTACCTCGCACAGATCAATCAAACTCTGCCGGCTTAGAGACTTGAAGCCATCGGTCCGAACAACACGTCCCCAATTGGCAAGGCAGAATTGAGCGGCACGACGCATCAGCCACTCTTCGTTCGTGCGCCCTGCACGCTCCCAGATGATTGCAGCGTTCTCTACATCCAATTCGCGGCTGAGGCGATTGACGCAAAGTAAACGCAACTTAGGCATGTCGTACATATTCGCCATGACGAGCATTCCCGCAACATCGATGATATCGGAACAAAACTCCAAATGACCGGCGATGCTATCTGTATACAGATAGTAGATGAACGCACGCACAACCGAGTACGGCTCGGGGATGTGCATCCTGTTTGCATGGTATTCAGCCATTTGAGCTGAATAAAGCCTTTTGAAGTGGGGCCATCGCAGCTGCAGAATAATCCGGTGCACATGAATCGGAGGCGAAGTAGGTGTGTTGGGGGAGAGGAAGGCTGGCTCTGATTGTGAAGTTGGGGTGTCCCCCTCATCGTCCGAGTCAACCTGATCGTCTGAATTAGCGGTAATGATAAAGTCTGCACCGCTACCGGACTCTGGTGATTGATCAAACGCTGCCGAAAGATCTGCTCCCAAACCGGACAAAGAGCCCATCCCTGTTGGTTCGGAAAGCGACGTTCGGCTTTGACTGGGCGAAAAGGCAGATAGCTCGTTTCCCAGCAAGCCGTATCTCTCAAGGTCAATGCAGAGTACCTCGCTCATGTTATTCTCATCACTATTTCCAGGAGTGGCACCGGTGTCGAGGCTACTACCAAGAAGCCATGCTTTGGTACCGTCAGCGTTCACAGTGCAATAATGCCATCTAAAGCCCGGCTTGAAGATTTCCTGCCCGTCAGCCAACCGCTGCCAACGTAAAGCGTCCAGATCCAGTGATGACAGGTTGCACTCATAGGTACGCACTGTCTCGGACGGAGTGATCAGATCCAGGAGCACCCCAGATGCATAGGCCTGGAAGTGAGTGCCAGAGAACAGTGCAGGAACGTGAGGGCCGGACTTGAACCGAAGACAAGAAATGGCGCCCGGAGCGATCGGTTTCCGACGATTGCCATTGCGAACTTGAACACTCCCGGAATTCGCTGCATAGCTGCCGGACCGGCCCGAAAGCTGCTGCGGGGGGCTACTAAAGATAGCGTCTGGACTATAAGTAATCCTGCTGGTTGGCGCTGGGGAATCCACGGTACCTTGTGAAGTTGCCGTTCCAAGAGACGGAATGCCTTTGAGATCTAGCCACCAGATATCCGTTGTACGTTCCATGTCAGGATCGAGACCTCCAAAGATCCAGAGGCGGCCGCCCCAAACCCAGGCGATGTGGTCGAAACGAGCCGTGAATCTCCAGGTGCGAGACCAGGTCCAGGTTTTCAGGTCCAGATATGACAAGTCGTCGAGAATCACATTGTTCTCTCCGGTTACTCCTCCCATGATGAAAAGCTTCTCATCGTGGATGACGGCAGCATGGCGAGCCCTTCCTCGGGGGATCGGTCCATGGATTTCCGGCTGAGTCCAGGTAGAGGTTGAGATGTCCAGGATGACAACGTCAGATAGATGATCGCGGTGTTCATTTTCTCCACCAAACACAATCAACTTATCACCTTGGTAGAGGGTAGCCGTATGACCTACAACGATTGAGAGTCTGAATTAGTACGATTTGCGTTTCCTTATCGTAAGTATTCAAAAATGTGGGGAAACTAACCCATGCGGACACCGGGAATGTCACCATAGTTATCAACCAGTTCCCACCGAAGAGTTTTGAGATTCAGACGCAAGACGTGGTTGTAAACTATTTTAGCAAGGAAGAAGCATTAGTATTAGACTTGTACGATGATCAGTGTGAGAAATAAGTATATGCACCTTCATCCGTGTACTGATCAAAGCCGCCGAAAGCGTAGATCTGGTCATTATTGCAATACGTCACCGAAGCATTGACCAGGCAGGCTGGCACATGGCCTTGTGCCTTGCGGATGCTTGGGCGGTAATCCGCGCCACTACGGCGACCATCACTGGGACTAGGTGGCATGAGGAATGTGGACGCCGGTCTCTGAAGGGTGGAGGAGAGGGGAGTCATCGGGTTAGGAGTCCTGGACGACCCGGTCCAACGCGGTGGGTCAGCGTGGAACGGCGAAAGGGGCGACGAAGCGTTACTATTCCTGGCGGTAGTGGAGGATAGCCGCGCCATTAGGGTCCGACAGTAAAGACGGGCCCAGGGGGTCAGAAAAGGAGGATAGCCGAAGGGCAAAGATGGTGAATCAAAAGATAAATCAGTAGTAACACACTCTCTCCTCACATACTGATGCTGATCGCAGTGACCCCACGTCTCTTGTCAGCGGCAAGAGGGAAAAAAGGGAAAATGAAAAGGGGAGAAACGGCAAGCGCCAAGCCGATCGTCGCCGAAAAGGGAAGAGCCGCATGTCAGGTGGCAATCTAACCTAAACGGGACTAGGGCAGCCGTACCTCCAGTAACCGGCGTTGCCATGGGTGAGCAGAACTATATCCTTTATTTACTCCCTTTTCCTCCTTCACCCCCGTCCCCTCCTCTTCCTCCTCTTCATCATCTTCCTTGTTCTTTGCCATTTATCTGCTACTAATTGCATACCATATTGCGTGGGATTGGTATTCCCTGCCTGCATTCAATACTACTGTATCGCAGTTAGGTCTTCTTCGTCCTGTGACCAAGCCAGCGTGACTGGGATTGGCCCTGCAAACGGACCTTGAAGGCACTTCTCTCTCGATACCCTCCCCTATCTCTCGAAAAGTAAATATATATCAGCATGGCTACACCTACAGTTTCGACTCCCGTGAAGACTCACCATGGGATCTTCTCCACTAAGACGGCTGGTGGCCGCATGCCCCTTACGCCTTCACCACGCACTCGCGCAGGAAGTGTGACGTCAAACCACTCCTCCCCATTCACACCTCCCTGTGGTGCTCAAGAATCGGGCAAGGAGCATGGAAAGTCTGTCTATGGTGGTAACCTCTCTTCATACTTCGCCAAGTCTGTCTCGAGGACAGCCCGCAACTACCGCGAATCCCCCAAGTCCAACATCGCCCGTGCTCGCACGCGCAAGTCTCCCAGACACCTTGAGCTGGGTGTATCAGAATGGGCCTTGACTGGCACTGGTCCTTCATCACAGACTCCTACCAAAGAGCGCCTGCGGAAAGAGGTCGTGAGGAAGGAGGTGACCAAGGAAGTGGCCAGGAAAGAACCGCCGAAGAAGGAGGCAATCAAGAAGGAGGTGTCGAGGAAGGAAGCACCTAGGAAGGAGATCACCACTCGGACTACGAGGTCAGGAAAGACAACCGTTCGCATTCCCCACAACGCAGGTGACAGATTCATCCCGAACCGTACTGCCAGTGAGGGACTTGTGACTGCTGGTACAGCCAAGCCAGAGGAAAGCCAACGACCAAAGACCAGTAGCAGCGATGGATCCTCCGTCCTTGCCAATGCCGCGAGTGCTTTCGACATTGGTGGCCGCGGAACAGATGAAGACATCACCGCAGCTCTGGAAAGCCTTGGACTCGAGGATAACGAGCCAACGACCTCATACACCAAGCCAGCACCGGATGCTGTTGCGTACGAGTCATCTTTGGCAGATGCCTGTGGTGTCAATCTGAACACTCGTATCCTGGCCTTCAAGCCGCCACCCCCAGAGTCTTCCAAGCCCATTGATCTGCGCGCCCAGTACAACCGCCCTCTCAAGCCTGCCAAATCTCAGTCCGCTCAGTTCCGCCGACGTGTCCAAACCGCTCCTGAGCGTGTCCTGGACGCCCCTGGTCTCCTCGACGATTACTACCTCAATCTGCTGGATTGGAGTTCTGGCAACCAGGTTGCAATTGGCCTGGAGCGCAATGTTTACGTGTGGTCTGCCGACTCAGGGTCGGTCAGCTGCCTGCTGGAGACTGCACCTGACACCTACGTGAGCAGTGTAAAGTGGAGTGGTGATGGCGCCTATGTCGGTGTCGGTCTCGGAACTGGTGAAGTTCAAATCTGGGATGTCGAGGAAGGAACCAAGCTGCGCAGTATGTTTGGCCATGACTCGCGTGTAGGTGTCATGGGCTGGTCGAAGCACACATTGTCTACCGGTGCCCGCAGTGGTCTGGTATTCAACCACGATGTTCGCATCGCACAGCACAAGGTTGCCGAGCTGGTCTCGCACACCTCTGAAGTCTGTGGTCTGGAGTGGAGACCCGATGGTGCTCAACTCGCCACCGGTGGTAACGATAATCTGGTTAATATCTGGGATGCTCGCTCTCTCAGCGCGCCCAAGTTCACTAAGACCAACCACCGCGCTGCCGTTAAGGCCCTCAGTTGGTGCCCCTGGCAGTTGAACCTACTTGCCACCGGTGGAGGTTCTTATGACCGTCACATCCACTTCTGGAACACTACTACTGGTGCTCGTACGAACAGCATCGACACCGGCTCCCAGGTCACCAGCTTGAGATGGAGCAACCACTACCGCGAGATTGTCAGCTCGAGTGGATTCCCCGATAACTCGCTGAGCATCTGGAGTTATCCGACTCTGGTCCGGAACGTCGAGATTCCTGCCCACGAGACTCGTGTGCTGCACAGCTGCCTTAGCCCAGATGGTCAACTCCTGGCCACCGCAGCCGCTGACGAGAGTCTGAAGTTCTGGAAGATCTTCGAGCGCAAGCCTGGAACCAGCGCTGCGGCCTCTCGGGAGGGTGGTGTTGGTAGCAAGGCTCAGATGACCAAATCCATGACCATTCGGTAAACTGGTTGGTCATCTGCAATTTCTTCTCATCTTGTTATTTTTCTTCTTCGATGACTATATTTCGGGTTCGGTATCGTAGACCGGTTTTGTCTTGATATCATTGGTTCTATCGGTGTTCAGTACATTGGGGGCACATATCCGGATTCATGGGATGGAAGGGGTGTTATTGGTAATTGGCGTTTGTATCTAGGTTTGACCGTATAATAGCTGTCAGGATTCTTGTATAGAAAGTCGCATACTCATAATTGCTCGTCTTTTCGCTCCTGCGTCTTAGAAGGGATAGAAGCTGGCCAGCACATAGTCAACCAGGGCTATGCGGCTAGTCCTTCAGAAAAATTCCGACTGGAAGGGCAAGTCAGAATCATTCAACAACAGATCCCACTGCAGGCCATCCATTTCCGGCGCCACATTGAAGAGATCAGACCACAGCTGACCCCAGCTATTCCTCCTTGCTCCGCTCCACATTGGGTCCTCGTCTTCATGACCAGAGCCCGGCATGCTGTTCGTCAAAGGAAGATGTCCGCTAGCCGCCGCACTTGTCATGTTTTCATCCACCCCGACAGGCCGGGACTGTGACGCAGCAGCGCTCGACATCGTCCCACCCGATCCTGAAGCCACGGCAATACTATCATTTCTCACAGGCGACCTTGCCTGTTGCTGCACTTCCCTCTGAGATTCCTGAAGAATAGACAACAACGTCTGCGTATTCTTCCGAATAGCCTCCATAAGCGACGCCGACTCATTCTGAGATTTCTCCAGTACATGGATAACATCCAACACTTCCTGCTTGCGGGTATCTGCGCCCGGAGCGGTAGGCTTCATAGAGACGTCCGTAGCCAGGACCATGGCGGCGAAGAAAACGTGGTTCATAACAAGGCTGTAATCGGAGGGGTTGAAGCCGGCGAGAACGCCTGTGTCTTTTAGCGTGCGGCGAAGGTCGAGGACCGTTTGGGCGGAGCGGATGCAGGTCAGTCGAGAGTAGGCGTATTTGGGGTTCGTTAGGCCTTCGCGGTGGTAGGGGCGGTGCAGGCGGCACAGGCGGACGTGGAAGCTTAGATGGGCGACAGTTCGTTGCCAGGCGAGGTAGGGTCGTTGTTGGGTTATCTCTTGGCTTTTTTGAATGCTGGCGGGGTCGTTTTGGAGGAAGGTTGGGAGGGATTGGACGAAGGTGTGGAATTTATGGTCGATATCGAGGAGGGTCTCGTAGTCGGGTTGGGAGGATTCGAGAAGGGTCATTCCTAGGGTGTCGATGATTTCGCGGCATAGTTCTGCGTAGTGGATTCTGAATATGAACACGGACATGGAGGTCGGGACTGAGAGGGGGAAGCTGTTTGCTGGTCCTGTGGGAGTTAAGGATTCGTCGTCGATGTTGCTGGGATGGTTTACTTTCATTTGATTTGGGTGGATGAGGTAGGTGCCTTCTTGTGGGCTTTGCGAAAATGCGGTGATCCTGTGGTTGTTAGTGTATTGGGGGGAAATGTGAGTCTGGAGGAGGTAAGGTGTACCAGTCGGAGGAGACGAGGTGCCACCATGCTCGTCTCTGTACCTCGACCTCGACGGCATCGTATCCTGAACGCTTTCTTTCGTCTTGCTTTTGAACTGTGTCGAGCAGATGGATTTGCATCGATCGGGCCATGCATATTGCGTCGATCCTGAGTGTTTGGGCTTTGTGGGAATACCAATCCGCATGAAAGAGAACGCGCGACAAGGCACTAATGGCTCCAAGAGCAGTTGTCGATGGCGGTATTGGCTTGATCGGGTTGTCAATTATACAGAGAGCTAAACGCGCGTATGTGGTGAAGGCTGCTTTGGCTTCTGCCTCTGTTGCGCTGAGCAACTGCAGAAGTTCTGGGGTTGCAACCAGAACAGCCCCAGCGAAGATACTGAAGAACAGTACCAAGACAGTAGGGCTTGGCTCCTCGCCCTCGAGTATACCCCTGTATGTTTCATCTAATAGTTCTTTTGTGGATGGGATATGGAAGACCCCGAATGTTGGCTGAATGACTACGTTGAAGTGGTCTAATAGTTGGCGAGCCTGGGTCCATGGGGGAAGACACCTGGATATGCTCTTCGTATCTCGCATGCAGTCAGAGAGATCAGCAATGCGTCTTTGTAATGTAGATAGGGGTAATAATGTAAGTGGAGTGACACATCCATTGCTCGAGCCTCGTGCCTAAGAGATGTTTCAGCTTGCGAAAGCAAGAGTTTGTAGAAGATACATACACCACTTATGACCAAGCCCTGGTTTGTGTTGCTGCCCTGAATACCAGTAGCCCTACCAGGCGGATCTAGATCTGCATTAGTTTGAGGCCCTTGAATAACCAGCCAGGTTGAGTGTCATCTCTGGTGAGTATTCGGGACGATCCCAGGCCCGTGACGATGGTTCTAACACGCTAGTTATAACTCACCCCGGGGAATATGAATTCGATCGAAGACTGCCTCTTCTAGCCTTGCGACCCGACTCAAGATATCATTCGTATCTCTTTCCAATAATGTCAGTAAGAATTACAATGACTCTCCCAAATTCCGGAGTCCACTCACGCAGCAGTTGTAGTCTGGCTATAGGTGGGTGGTATAGTTGGTGCAGGCTGTTGTGTGGAGACCGTCGCAGCAGTGGGCTGATTGCCAGATAGATGAGCTCCCCGCAGTTCGTCCGAACTATCCGATGGAGCCTGACCTGTATACTCGCAAGGTACCTTTCTCAGAACGCAATTGGAACAAGGTTGGGTACGATCACAGCGCAGCTTCTTCGCTCGACAAAAGCGGCAGGAGAGGGGCGGTCGAGACCATCGTTGCACCATGGCCTCCGGTACGGCGTCATTTTTCCGTTTCATATCTTATCGCCGGCAACATTAGGTTAATGCTATAGCAATCTAGATGGCTGGAGAACAACATGAAGTGGAGAAGACAAACGGTCAAGGTTCGGCTGTCAAAACTCCACCCGCGCCTTGCCGAGATCGGGTAAGCTCCGCCGGGCAGGTTTGGGGGAGAACCCTAACTGGTTGCCTGATAGGGACTCCCAATCTACTGCTTTCCAATCCATCTAGACTAGATGTAAAAGAAGACCACGAGGATGCAGGCTCTGTATATATCTGACTATATTTTGCTTCGTCGCTCATCTGTTTGCCTTCTGCTTGTGTACATTACAATTCGCATTCCTTCTTAGAGACCAGAAGATAAAGTTTCTCCTAGTTAGAGAGATGAGCCTGTACAACCAAGTTAATTAAGGACTACAGTACTACGAGTAGACTATATGGTAATTGTAAGTCAAAATGGCTGAAAGGGTCAATGCTTTCAAGCTAATAGATTAGCACACCCCAATCCAATCCGAGTACTTTCAGCGGAGGTATAACGGCTTGGAGAGCATGGAGGTAGTTTGCCAATTAGATCTTTTGTACGCGTGCTGATATCCATTTGAAATAGTTTGCACCAACAATCGATTTGTACCGTTTTGTCTGTTTCGTGACTGCTACCTCTTTTGGCGAGTTAACCATGAGTTTCCGGTGTTAATATCAGTTGTGGAGCAGCAGAAACATAAAGTGATATTCTGATATTGATACGCTGCATCCAAGCTCAGTTTTGGTTTGTCACTTCCCAATTAAAGAGACCCTTGGACTTGGAGCGGAATGTACTCTGCAATAGTATACTATTACTGGGGTTATATGAAGTCCTGAGGCTCATAAAGTCAGACGGTAGCACCCGAGGCCCTAATGCAAAGAAAGAAAAGTATGGTGATCCCCATGCAGACTTATATACTTTGCTTTCTGGCAAAGTCCGTTCTCATATGGGATTGTCCGACTTGAAGAGACGCTTCACAAAGTCATTTAAAGAGCCCCAGAAACTATTTAATGGCTTGTCAGCCACTAAATTGTGAGAGCGAAGAAAATCTTGTTTGAATACTTTACTATAAAACAAGGAGAAGCCTGGTATGGTTTTCTCCTTGTTGTGTTGTGCTCCACAGTGCTTAAGTCGGATTGATTAAGACGAAATTAAAATGCCATGAGGCCTGCATGAGCTGGACAGCAACCAAGAACGTTGATTCATCGCACAACCACGCGGCTGACAGATGGTAGATAATTGTGAGGTCTAAACGACAATACTTGGCAACCAAGGGATAAGTGAAGGAGTGGCGAGGAAAGGCTGAGCCCGCGATTACTGGAGATCTCAAAAGTCAAAAAGTCAAAGAAATAGCTCTTGCGTCGCGCCGGGGCAGATCCCCCGGACCTCCCACTAGGGACTAGCGGTGGTGGTGACTAAGCAGGCGGGAGGAAGGCGGATTTCGCCCGGAGAGAGCGACTTTCACCTCAACCACATCCCTCCGGCACGCCTGCCTTGCTTTCAACTCCCTTCCGGCATTCACCCGGCATTCTACGGCTCGTCACACGCTGAGACTCTGAATATTGAGTTCTTGAAGTAAGAAAGATCATCTACAGAAGCAGTGCAAGTTCGAGGGTGGTCGGAAGTAGTGGTTGTGGAGACTCAACTGTCGCATTCGCCCGTGGCAAGCGACCGCTGCGACGGCGAGGCTTTACCTGTGATAAGCCCGACAACCCCCATTCACGTCGAGCTCTCGCGTGTTAATAGGCACCCCGTTCTTTTTTCTATTTTCTTAGAAGACAGAGCAAATTTATTTGACCCAAACTTCATTAAATCTCCTTCACCTGGCTTGACAAAGCGTCTTCTCGTCCTTGTCTGATCCCAACAGCGATCATGTCGAACCAGCAGGTGGTGAGTGCATCTTAAAAAAACAAACCTTATCAGAGCTGGAGACTTCGATGAGCCCGGATTGTGGCTTGAAACTCCCTTCGAAGTTCTCCATTCCCCCGCTCTAACCCCATATCATAACCATGTGAGATGTTGGCTCATACCAGTTATCCCTAGGGCACGGTGTTCGATCGTGTCATCCAGGAGGTCTGTGATGGCTCCCAGGTGGACTTCGAGGAAAGTGGTGTGGACCAGCAAACACTGTTAGATTTGCGCAAGGTTAGTACTCCATCAAGAACCATTTTCCTTTGTTGGAGAGATTCTTTTGAGGTCAAAAGAAGTCGTGATGTTTGGGGTGATGAGCCCCAGGGGGAGACGCCCCAAGCGGGGTCCGAGAGGTGCGGGAAGGGCGGCCGCCTGGGGGCATCGCCTGCTTTTGAGTCTCTTTTTATACCGCGCCGCTTTTACCCGCCCTAGTCGGCCTGCCAAGCCGCTTCAGCATCGTCATTCGCTGCCCGTTTCCCCTTCACCTTCTCGGTCTCAGTCCTTTTTATACCTACCACTTGGCCCTTTGACTCCTTGCTCCATTCAATTCCTCCTGTTAAATTCAAACCTACGTATGCTAACCTTCGTTCCCAGAGCTGGCAGAAGAAGCTCTCCTCATTGGGTGTCGCTCACTTCCCTTGGGATCCGCCGCCGCCGCAAGCTGCTCCCCCTCAGACACAAAATATCCTCCCTCCCACCGCAACTGTGCCGTCAAATGCTCCTCGGCCTGGTCCACCCCCTCAGCCACAGCATCATGTTCCTCCTCCCCCTCCTCAACAGCAACCCATCCCTCAGTCCGTCCCCGCTACGGCACCTCCGCTCCAAGCTCCTACTCCGGTTGGGGCCGGCCCCAATGCCATGGGTCAACAACAACAACCTCACATCAAGACCGAACCTGGCGTCAACGGTCAGCCTGGGATGATGCCGATGAATAATATGATGATGCCAAACTCATCCAACCCACAGTCTGCTCAAGAACGGGCTGCCAATATGCTTCGTCAGCGTTACGGAGCTGCAGCCGCTAACTCAGTCAGTCAGCTGCAAGCACAGTCACAGGCCCAAGCAGCCATGGCCATACCTGGCCAGCCGCGCCCCCAACCTATGCAGCATGTACCCAACGGGCAGGCTCCACAGATCAAGCAAGAACCGGGGTATCCCCCTGTGTCTCAACCCCCTGTCGGCAATACTCAAACGGACGGTGCCGGTGATGATGCCTTGTCTGCATGGAAGGCTGAGGTTGCACGGAGGCGGGAAGCTGCCGAACGCCAGGGAGGAGAAGGTGATCGTCTCCTTCGTGACCATCTCAGACAACAGATGCTCCAGTTAGAAGGCGGTGGTCTGATGCTGCCTCTCGACGAGCATGACTACTCATCGAAGACTTCGACTCGTGGGCTGGTGGCTACCCAAGCAGAGCCAGCTGATGTGTCAGCAGTTGCTGGTTCCTCATCTCATCCACCCAAGGTCCTCGGTGCTCAATTCGACGGCCCCGGTGGTGATGATGAAAGGGATGAGGATGATGAGGATGCCATCAATTCTGATCTTGACGACCCTGACGACCTTGTTGCTGAGGATCATGATGCAGAAGATGCCGTAGGCCAGGTCATGCTTTGCACCTATGACAAGGTTCAACGTGTGAAGAACAAGTGGAAGTGCACCCTCAAAGATGGTATCCTGACCACTGGTGGCAAGGAGTAAGTACATCAATATCACTCATTCCACTTAACCTCCCGCTAACGAGTGAACAGGTACGTCTTCCACAAAGGTCAAGGAGAATTCGAGTGGTAGATGTGCGTAAGCATCATCCCATTACTCCGGATAAATCCCAGAACGTGTATTACATTTTCAATACCTCTTTCTATGTTCTACTGGCCTCGTTTATACTCAGCATGTAAAAACCCCAGATCTGACTCAGGATTCTATGAGCAACGAAACCCATATCTGGTTCCTTTTTCTTCTTCCAACTATGTCTGGATGGTCGGTGCAAGCGGAAATTTGCCTCAAATGACGATTTGATTTTCACGAAGTAAACAAACAACACCGGGATTCCTGTTTCTCTTTTTTCCCTTTTTGTCCTTGATTAACCCTTTTTTTTTTATTTACTTTCCTCATACTCTTTGCTTCTTCCCCACATTGGATGTATGAGGCGCTTATGAGGTGGACGGCGGTTCCTTTTCAAGTTCAAGCTGTACTAGAGTAACATATCTGAAATGAATGAAACAGATTGTTTTCTTCTATATTCTGAACATCACACTCTTCTAAATAAAGAGCAGCCGGGTAAAGTGGCCAAGGACCACCCTATGCTATCAACAAGTAAAAGTAATCGATCACGTACGTCCAAGTGAGATAGGAACTACGTCCCAACTAAATCAACGTCCCAAAGCTCACTCGATTACACCAGCGTAGCACCCAGATCAAGAATTAATTACATGATATTCATAATCGAAACCAGTAACTAGTTAACTAACCTATTAGTCGACTTTCGAGCATACCCGAGAGGTAATGATAATATGGAGTGAAATTGTTTCATGTTCAGACTTTTTTTGTTTAAAAAAAGAAAAGGAGCCCTTTTTCCGCAAAGCAAACAACATTACGTCAAACCTTCAACAATCGAAACGGGAATCTCAAAGGAGCAAACAGGCAAAACACTAAAAGCAACAAGAACATAGCGAGGAATAGTATCTATCAGCGACTCAGCCAGTCAGTTCGAAAGTCCCATGTTTCTCCAACAACACCACAGGCAAATAAGAACAAGAGACGCAAGAACGGGAGGAAGAAATGATCAGCAAAGATAAAGAAAAGGAAATAGAAAGACATAAAAACGCAGTGTAGGAGCCAGAAGCCGGTCTGAAAGAAAAAAAAAGAAAAAAACATTATCTACAAAACTGATTGACGCCAGAGTACCACCAGTAGTTACTTTTTTTTCATGGTCTTCCCTTGTCTCCAAGCAGCGAAAACCTCATTGTGCCAGAGAAAAGGCAAAGAACGACAACCACCGCGTTGCTCCAACTTTGCATATCCAGTAGAAACCATTGCGCTAAATTGCTTTTCGTTCTTTTTTCAAACCCAAAGTCGTCCCATCGTAACCGTACTCCAGTTTTTTCTGCAGGGCATGACACGCCTTTGAAGGTTCTGATTAAGTAATTTGGCACCGCGGATGGCGAAGGAGCCCAGGATTGGAGACGTGACAATGGAAGTCGACAAATGAAATACCCAACTTTCTGTTTTGATCCCGAATACACATAACCGTCAAAGCTAAGCAAATGCCAGGAGCAAGCAAAAGAATCCAGAGAATTCATGCCGATACGTCTATCGGCTGTTAAGTCGTGGAAGAACTTCTTCAAAGTCTTTGAAAAGGACTGATTTATTACCAGACCAAAGCACGGTCGTCCCAAACCGCGATTGACATGACGTTCATACCATTAACTCCAAGCCACCAAACCTGTCATTAAATCGTATCCCGCGCGACGAGGCCGTCAGAGATCGTCGTGTTGAATTAGTGTGGGAATAATGATGCGTAAAATTGGATTGCATGTCGTTCGTGATATGGGGAACTTATAAAAGACCCTCTTCACCGATGCCAGGTAGGCCAGCCCCAGCAACGTTGATGTTCTGCCCTTGCATGACGCCTCCACCAAAAGCCAAATTCCTGCCTGCAGCAAGCTGGAAATCAGGATTGCAGGGCGGCGAGTGCGACTTGTGGTATTTGAGACCGTTCAAGTTCTTGTAACGCTTGCCACAGACCTCGCAGCGGTAGGGCTTCTCCTTCTCCATACCAAGTGTTCCAGGATATGGCGTTGATGTCTCGGGGTTGACGATAGAAAAGGTGCCGTCTGCGTTGTCGTGAAGTTGCTGGTTGTTGTGGCCATGCTAGGGAATGATTAGACAAGCTAAGGATGGTTTGGCTTGGAAAAAGAACTTACAGCTTTGTGATATTTCAGACCATTTTGGTTCTTATACGCTTTCTCACAGCCAATGACTGGGCACCGGAAAGGCTTTGGTTCCTCGTTGGGAAGGAGAGCAGTGGTATCAGGAACACCCGCCAACAACTGTTGCTCTCGGATCCGTCGAGCAATTTCACTGTTAGGGCCATACTGTGCTCCACTGAGCTTAAAGTGAGCATTGGGGGTATTGATTCCGCCAGTGGGACTAAACAGTCGTTTGGCTGGTTCGTCGATACACAAGTCTACCATATCATTGTTGTTTCCGGCGAACCTTCCAAACTGAGACTGACCCTGCATCATCGGGTTTTGCATAGCCAGGTCTCCGAAACCACCAAGCATGCTGTCATCCAGTTCTGCAGGCGTCCCGGGGGCAGAGGAGTCTGGTGTGGTCCGGAACTGTGAGTTCTGTAGAGGGTTCGCCATCAAAGTAGGTGTATTGACGGAAGAAACCGTTGGGTTGTTCTGCAGCGACAGAGGGCGCCCAGAGGCAACGGGAGTACCGGGCTGAGAGCCTTTGAACCCTTGGTGTCCTGGAAGCATCGACAAATTCAGATGCGGAACCCTTTGGTTGGTACTGCCAAAACCTCCTTGGCCTCCATCACGCGACTGAGGCGCGAACAGCTGTGCAGTGGCGGCATCGTGATCACCCATTGGCTCATCAAGTTCCATGTCATCGATGGTATCCATATCCGAATGCTGCTGAGTGTGTGGAAGCTGACTCATTTTCCGCTGCAAGTCCAGAGTCCTATCTGGCTGCAATCCACGGCCCTGGTTATTGTTTTGCTGGCCTTGTTGCTGCTGCGCCATCGCCACCGCAGCCAGGGCCGCTCTACTATCGCCTTGACTGGGGCGGTGGCCCTGCTGAGGTGACTTGGTGGCGTGAGCTTCCTCATAGTGCTGCAAAAGATCGTGAAGCGTCGGAAGAGTCACCCCACAGCAATTGAAGTCGCGCATAAAGTTGGCTTCCAGCTTGGGTAAATATGAGGATGAATGAAATGACGGTGACTGAAAAGTGAACGGAGATGTGCCGGTCATGATTATACTAGATGATTCATCGTCAGCTTCCAGTGGCCAAAGCACTCGCGCGATCACGGGAAATCGTAGAGATTCCCATAACGACATGGACACTCACTCATCGCGAATCCAACTGCCAACAGACACACCACCCCAGCTCATCCCACCAACTAAGCTTCCTGCCAAAGACTCACGGCGGGGTTTATCGCGGTTGGAGCCGGACATTGAGATGGGCTTCGTTCCGTTGCCCCATTGTGCCGTAGCTGCACCGATGGAGTCCTTGCGAGGAGGGGGGGCCTTGAAGACGCTGAGACCAACACCGTTTGCATGGGATAGACTGCCTGTCCGTTCTCCATTACCCGCTCTCTGCAGAGCAGACGTCAGGTTCGACGCCTGCTGTCCGGGAGGAGAAACGGAACTCTGGCGGGTGGCGATGTCGATCGGAGCGGCTGCACCGGTCATGGTGTTGGTTTGTATGGGGGAGGAAGGAAAGAGAGGGAAATCGAGATCTGAATCGAAGTGAGGGTGTAGTTGCTGGTTGTCAAAGTACGGTGAGGACGTGTCGCCGCCGATGTCGAGTGAATTTCGAGTCCACGAGGAATCCGAGAGTAGCTTTTCCCTATCCGGTCTGCGCAACGGTACGCCAAACCCGAGGGGAGTGGTGACGGGGGTCGAATCCCTGGTAGAGGCGCAATCGAGGTCCCCGACAGAGGGAGAGTAATGGAGTGAGGGAGGAGGAGGACTATGCGTCGCTTCTGACGACCCGAGCATGAAGGAACGATTCCACGACGGCGGTTTTGGGCGGGATCACACAAGGAGTGTCCACCACCCTCGGATGTTGTCCCGCTTTGGCTGCGGAACTTGTGACGGATTCGGGAAAGGTGGCGGGACGTAACGATATTACTGATCGATTCGATCACCAGAAGGGAAGAAAACAAATTCTGAGATGCAGGAAAAGAAGGTGATGGCAATAGAAGTAGATGACGATGATGAGAAGATGATGATGATGGTGTAGAGATGGGGAAATTGAGTTGAATGGGGGGAAAAGGTGTGGGCAACACACACGCACACACGAGGAACAACAAGTCCAATTTCACCGACAAGCAGCGAAGTCAGGAAGCCCAGCAACTGGCGGCAAGCAAGCAACGACCGGAAAGGACCACCAGGTAATAATGACTAGACAGTGACTGGACCTGTCTTGGGAGAAGGAGGGGGCAATTCACGGCACCACACCTTCACTACTACGTACTTACTATTACTAGTAAAGGGTTGACTTCTCAAACATTACCGTTTTATTACAACCCAATCTGGTCAAGTCCGTCCATGACCTAAATTACGGTACATCCCGGACAATGGCCGCACTTAGCTGGATTGGGTAAGAACAACCTTAGTCATGGTCTGGCTGGGGCCACCCATAACTTATTTCCAGGCAATCAGAGCTGCCCAGCATCTGCCCAGTGCCCAACGACGAATCTTCTTGCGACTTACTATTACGTATGAGGATGGCGGAGGATCCATGGGAGGTTTCGACCACTGACTCCAGTGGCCAGCAAACAGCTTCTGGTTCCCTTCGGCTTCTAGTAGGTGGATCCCCCTTTAGTAGCAATGAACTTGACACCGCTTGCAGTCTAGTCGAGTCACTAGCGCTTCTTCGAAAAGTCGATGATGATGACGGCGGTGGACTGGTGTGTAGCTAACTGCTGCAGGAGATCCAGAGGGGCGTCACCCTTGTATCGTCTGTTTGTATGAAACTGTATTACCGGGGATTGGTCCCCGCTCCATTTTCCGGTCTCTGTATTATTACGGAGCTGGACCTACTTTTGGTGGTGG